GACATGTCTTCTGGATTGTCTATGGTTCGAGCCATGGGTGGATTTACTGGGAAGGTTAGGGGTGGTTAAACCCCTCCTAGAATCTCTCTCTATATAATTTAGGTTTTAAAATATAATTTATTTTTTAATCATGTAAGTAACTCGTAATTCAGATGCAAATGTTCTGCAATGAGTTCTTTAATAAACCATTACCATAACCCCTCTTATAAAGTGTTCAACCCCACCGAAATTTTTCTTCACCCCTCCTATTTTTGTGAAAGTCTAAAACCTTTCTAACCCCTGTCAAAGCTCGCTTAGTGGTGCACTTTGCACCCCACCAGAAATTTTTCTACCCCTCCTTTAAAAAAATGAAAATCTGCCTTTGGTTAGAGCGCTGCACCAGAATCGCAGGGTCGCAGGTTCAATTCCTGCCAAAGGACCTTCTACAATTAAAACGAAACTTGAAGCCACATTCTCATTTTCAGTTTTGCATAAAATATGAAAAGCAATATATTAAATTCACTTGCTTATTATTATTATTTTAATGTATTAAATTGCATTTATATTGTAGAAGCAGTTGTCAAACAACTGTCTCCTTTTAAAATGACTCTATAATTTATATTTTTATACTATGCTACTCTTTATAAATAGAACACATTCCATTGTACAGAATGTGTTATACTTCAACTTTCTAATATTAAATATTCAAGATTTCACTAAGCACTATCGTACAGCAGCTGTTATGCAAACTCTCGGTTCTCAACTCTCATAAACTCTTGTGCAAACTCTCGCCTCTCAACTCTCATGCAAACTCTCGCTTCTCAACTCTCATGCAAACTCTCGCTTCTCAACTCTCATGCAAACTCTCGCTTCTCAACTCTCATGCAAGTAATTGTTGTTCACAGTTCACTTATCATCATGTTATTACTCAAATTACTGTATCTCATTTTGTCTTTTTTGCTTTATCATAAAAATAGCACCCCCCCCAGCCAGGGTTAGGGGGGTGTACCCCCCAGTAAATCCATCCCTGATGTAGATTAAAAGATAAGTAGATTTAACCAACCATACACTGATCGACACATACCTTACTATCAGCACCATCGTCATTGGGCTCATACAGGTCTGTGACAAACACAAATTTTTCATCAATCTCTCCCAACAGATCTAGGGCAGGTTTTAATTCTTGCTCAGGGTTTGACGTCTCAACAGTGGTGCTCACCATTGCAAGATATTTGCCTTTAGCGGCTACCTTGTGCGTATCTGACACCAAGCATATGTAGATATCTAAAATATTTCCAGGAATTTGTAAGCATTATCAGGCATACCAAGGTGTGGTGCATAAAATGAGAGAGATTACAATATTTGTGATTTTTCTGTGTGTGGTGTGAGCTGTCAATAAACATGAGCTCAACAAAATCTCTAGCGGGGACGAACGGTTTTCTGTGAGTGCTTCTTGACCAGGAGCCTTGTTTTTGTGTTAAAACTTATTTCCACATTTATTGGTCAAAATCAAATCAAAATATTTTTCATGCATGTGTTGAAGAAGGGTGTTTTGCTTCTCTGTGCATAGCCCATGAGAAAAAAACTTGAAATCCTTTCCATTTAAGGTGGTCCTAAGTTGAAAACAGTGTAGTTGTGATGTAATTATTGAAAGGGCGTATTTGAATGAATCTGCAACCCTTGCTATTTTATTATGTATATATACCTGACTTTCTATTGACTTGATTTTGTGGCAAAATGATTTGACACGACAATGATTCATCCGTTCCTGCTATAGCATGAGACATCACACAAATACATCTGACAACCTTCCCAATCTTCGACACTCGCTCAGGAAAGTATGATGGATCTCCCACAATGCACTTTGCTTTTGCAATCTCCCCGGCGGAAGTGATCCCAACCGCGACACCATCCTGCATAACGACCTCGTCAACCGGTTTATTGACCATGAATACACCACCGTGTAGCGCAGCCAACCGAGAGAAACCCTGGGGTAACTCGCCTAAACCATATACCGGGTATATATACGGACTTCTACCGTACTTTGCGATTGAATCGCGGTATAAGTTAATCCTCTTAACTGCCTCCGCACATGGTTTGTGAAGGTAGTCGTCATCCAAATACAGTGCCAATGCATGTCCCGTAAAATCAATGGTATTTTGATCGAGTCCGAAACTGTCGTAAACCTCCGCCATGGTCGTGGAGTCGGGAACCACGTCCCCCCACGTTTCCCGATTCCCAAAATCAAAACCAGACACAAACTCCAAGAACGTACGGAAACGTCGCTTCTGGAAAAACCCCATCAGACTAGTATCTAAAGCCTCTAATTCATTTGACGGCACTTTATAAAGCTGCCCACTCTTATACACATAACTCCCTTCTACCAATTTAAAATTCATGTAATTTGCAACACCTGTGTAAGCCAAAAGCTTCACCAAAACGCCATTGGCGAGGATAAATTTGGGGATTAAATCGATATTCCAATCCCGGGCTCGTCCGATTTGAGTGAAATTTTCGCTTTTTCCAGCGAGTTCGTAAAGCTTGGCAAGGTTCACCGAGGCGCTGTCCCCGCCATAATATTCACGACGATCTAAATGTAAGATCTTTTTGCCGTTCAAAGCCAACAAGCCGCTCAAAATACACTCTTTAAGTCCAGTTCCTAAAATAATAGCGTCGTACTCGCCGTTCATGCTTGCAGAAAAATGAAACAACGAAAAATAATCGTAAAAAACATAAAATTTTGCACAGAACAACACCTCTGTTCTCCTCCCGATTCGTAATTATCACCCAGGACACAAAATAAATAATAAGACCAGAAGTCTCACTCGATGTCGGAATCTTTGATGTTGATGTCCCCGCGCATGTCGCCTCGCGCATCTTGGCCGTGTCTCGTTTCCAGTGCCCTAAACATTAAGGAGTGAGGAAGTTAAAACGATACCAATCGAGTTTTAGAGCTTTGGTGACCATTTTAAAAGAATATATCATAAATTCAAAGGTAAGTCTATCGTACTGCATTGTCTTAAATGAATTCTCAGCTGAAATACGGTAATAAATGGATCATAAACGTAGCTAAATTTACTGTTGACAACGAGGTTGACAGATCCATTGCTTTTTTGCCTTGAATAGCTTTACCATAGTCATTTTACCTTAAAATGTAGCTACTGAGGATATCTCTAAGAGATTTACACAGATTATTTGCACAATCTCACGATTTAATCATGCTGATAACATGAAAATCCTTGTGCCATTCTATACTTGGCATAATCTCTACATCAATAGTTCACCAGTTCACTAATATAAATTCAATATATTTTTGAACCAGTCCATATATTATTATACACAATGTAGTATAGTTAATTTGACCATATTTGAGAAGTAAGGGTGTATTTCATTACAGACACTGCTGAATTTTAGGTTACATGCCATTGGATTGATATATAAAAAACACTTGTAAAACACACACATTATTTTTATCTTGTTGATAGAATAGTTATTTGCAGTATACTAACTGTTGGCATACTCTATTTCAGGACTATCAATTGTTTTTGTCACTGGCAGTCTTTGAAATACAATCTTGCTCTGTGGCCTTTACTGACAAGTTGGCTTTTACTACATATGTGGCACTGACACTTCTTTAATTAATGCACCAGTCAATGTAAACCCCCCACCGGGAGGGGCAGGATTTTGACTTGGAG